AACATCTAAAACAATTTTAAATCATCAGTATTCAAAAGTTTCTTGATTCATTTAAATTTTAAGCACTTATTATATGCCTTGGTTTCAAAGAACTTTTCTAGCCCGTTGGATGCTTTCTTTATCTATATTCCCTTGTTTGCTTTATATTAATTTCCTCATTTTTCAGCCATGGCAATGTATTAAAAATTTAACTTAATAACACGATTATGTACTAAAATTTTGCACTTTTTTTAAAAGGTTTAAAAAAAAAAAAAAAAAAAAAAAAAAAAAAAAAAAAAAAAAAAAAAAAAAACAAAAAAAAAAAAAAAAAAAAAAAAAAAAAAAATAAAAAAAAAAAATTTAAATTTTTAAAAAAAAAAAAAAAAAAAATTAGTAAACTTCCTTTTAAAAATTTTTAAAAAAAATTTTCCCGGAATTGGCTTAAAATTAAATTTTAAAAAAATTTAATTAATAAAAATTTTAAATACACATTAAAAAATTTTAACAAAACCTTTGGGTTACAATTTAAATTAAGAAATTTAAATTTAAAATTGTTTTAAAATTTTTATACTTTTTTAAAATTTTGCCCGCCCTTGGGGGTTTTCAAAAATTTATTTAAAATTTAATATAAAATTTAAAAATTTGGTGAAAAATTTTAATAATTTTTAACATTAATTTAAATTTTGCTTTACTTTTCCTTTCAAAAACCCAAAAGGGGAAAATTTAAATTTTGGGAAAAAATTTTATTTAAAAAAATATTTTAAAAATTATAAAACCCCAAAAATTTAAAAAAATAAAAATATTTTAAATAATTTATAATTTTTTAAAAAATTTTGGCCTTTTCCCAAAAAATTCCCCTTGATATTTAAATTTTTCCAAATTGTCTTAATCAAATTAAAAAAATTAAAACCCCCAAATTTAAAAATTTTAAATTTGTGGGTTTTAATTTTTAAAAAAAAAATAAAAATTAATTTTTAATATACACAAATTTAAAAAAAAGGTAACTTAATTCCCCCCCTTTCTGGGTAAATTTTATCATTTTTAAGAAAAATTAAATAATTTAAATTTTAAAACTCCGGGTTTTTTTAAAAAACCCAAGGGCAAAATTAAATTTGGAAATTTTCTTTCCCTTGGTTTTATAATTAATTTTCAAACGAAATAACAATTAACCCCCTTTTTTTAAGGGGGGAAAAAATTTTAAAACCCCTTTGGCCCCAAAAATTCCCCCTTATAAAACTTTTATAATTTAAAAAATGGGGTTTTCCCTCTGGGGACCCCCTTTTATTAAATAAATTTTTAAAAACACCCGGATCTTTTAAATTTTTAAAAAATTTTGGGAAAAAATTAATTTTTTTAAAAAATTTAATAAATTTTTTATTAAAAAATTACAACAGGAAGGGAATAAAAAATTTTAAAATAAATTCCCCTTTATGGGTTTGTGAAACTCCTTTGTTAAACCCCCTCCTTAAATTTTTTGGGAAAAACCCCCCGGCCCAGAAATTTTCCCTTTTAGGGCCTATCCCAAAAGGTTCCCACTGTTTTTTTCCAGTCCGTATGAAACCAAGGCCCCCAATGACCCCAACAATTTCCCCCTCTCTTTTGAAGGGGTCAATTTTTTTAAACCTTTCTTTAGGGCCGGGAAAAATTCCCCACTTTATATTTTCCTTTGTTCCAATTTCAAAACAAATTTGGGGATTTTTTCCCCCTGGGGGCCCAGTTCCTTTTCTTTAATAAATTTTTTCAGTATGGGCCCTTCCTTAATTTTTTTTTTAATTTTAAATACTTTTCCCGGTTTAAGTACAAATATTTTCCAACTTCCCCCTAATTTAATTTTTTTTATAAATTTTTTAAGGTTAAAGGTTAAAAAGTAATTTAAATGAATTATTTCATGGCCCCCTTTAAGGTAGGAAATTCCTAATTTTACCTAAAGGCCAAGGGGATTTGGAAAAGGGGGGGGGCCCCATCATTTTTGGCTTGGGCATTCCTTTCCCCCGTTCTTGGGAAGTTTCTTCCAAAATTAATTTTCCAATTTCCTTACCAATTTTTTTTTTTTTTGCCCCTTTTTTTTTGATCCCCCCTTTTTTTTTCAGGTTTTTTTGTGGGGGTTTTCCTTTGGGAAAGGGAAGAAATTTTTTCCTTCCAGAAACATTTTAACCCTTTTTCTTTTTCCCAGGGTTTTCCCTTCATTTAAAATTTTTCCCCGCGCTTAAATTGGGATTGGGCCGGGAAAGGTTTGAAAAATTTTTTTACTCTTGTTCTAAAATTTTATTATCCCCCCTTTTTCCAATTTTTCCTTAAAGGAGTTAGTTTTGGGAATTTTTTTTCCCTTATTTTGGGGGGAAAATCTTTTTTGTTTTTCCCGGGGGTTTCCCCACTTTTTTGGAAAAACTTTGTTTATATTTCTTTGGGGGTTAACCCCGTCCTAGCAGATGACAGCCTCAGCAGAACCCAGTATCATCTGCAAAAGGGTGATACGGTTTTCTGTGGGTTACATCTCTAGTTGATTGGAGGAGGGAAAAAGGATGGGGGGAGTACTGTGGGCCCTTTTGGGGGAAAAGAGTCTTCCTATGGCAGCCCCCGATTTAAAATTGTTGACCACTACCCCTTTGTGTTCGATTTGGGTTTGGAAAATTGAAAAGCCTCTCCCCACTTTTGGGAGTTATTTTTTTTAGCAGTATTTTGTGCACTTGTACGCCTTTATCGCACTTGTCAAACGCTTTTTCCGGGGCTGGGTGTATTAATCGCTTTTTGATTTTTTTCCAGGTTTCCCCAAAGGGCATTCATAGTGATCCAGTAGTTTTTGAGGGCAAAGGGGGCCTGCCCCCAACCCATGTTGCCTTGGTTTAAACAGTTTTTGGGGAAAAACAGGGGGGGTTTTCAATCTTGCTTCTTAGCCTCTTTCAATATTTTTATGATGTGGGCGTTAGGCTATTGGTCTATAGTTCTTAGCTAAAAGCTTTGTGCCATCTTTAAAGGAGTGGGGTATATCGTTGTTTTAAGGGGACTGTGGAAATTTTTCCCATGGGCTAGACCCTTCTCCATATTTTTATTAGGGCCCCGTGAGGAGGGGTTTCTTTTCCCGTTTTTTAATGAACACAGGTTCCCCGAAGGGTTTTGGGGCCTGGGCTGAGTGCATGGGCATGTTATCAATGGCTTTTTCAAAGTTTATCGGAGTTAGGGTAATGTCGGAAATCTGGCATACACTGATGGAGTTTTGAGGCTCATTCATGAAGAAATCATTTGGATCGTCGATCCTCAGACTGATTAGTGGCTCACTAAACACAGAGTTGTACTGAGATTTCAGTATTTCACTCATTTCCTTGTTGTCATCTGTGTAAGTCCCATCCTGTCTGAGTAAGGGCCCGATACTAGATGTGATATTTGCCTTGTTTTTGGCATCTGAAAAGAAATATTTCCAATTTCTTTAAATTTCACTAATAGCTTTAAGCTCCTCCTGTCTCTCCTGGTTCCTGTAAGAGTCCTTTAACTTACGTTCGATAGTATCCACTTCCGTGGTCTGCGCCTCCTTCCGTGTATCAGATATTCTAGTGTTCCTGAGGAGCTCAGTAATTCTTCGTCGTCTTCTGTAAAGGGAGCGTTTTTCTCTCGACAGAGAAGGAGCGTCTTTCATCGATAGAGCCGTTGTTGGGAGATAAGCAACAAAATTTGCATAAATGGGAAGAAATCAGAGCGGGGACCCGTCACAAACGGTGTTCCACAGGGGTCAGTGTTGGGCCCTTTGTTGTTCACAGTATACATATACGACATAGATGGGGGAATATACAGCTACATAAGCAAGTTTGTCGATGACACTAAAATAGGCCGTTGGATTAATTCTGATGAGGACACTTGAAAGCTACAGGAAGATCAGGATAGACTGATGCAGTGGTCAGAAAATTGGCAGATGCAGTTTAATGCAAACAAGCATAAAGTTCTATGCCCATGAAAAGGAAATAAACATATCACTTATAAAGTGAATAATGTAGATGTCACTTACTCTTAATGCGATAAAGATTTAGGAGTTCTGGTTAGCAGTACTCTAAAGCCAAGTGAGCAGTGTGTAAGTGTTTGCAATAAGGCTAATAGAATTATTGGCTTCATTCAAGAAGCATAAATAATAGAAGTCCTCAGGTTGTTCTTTAACTCTATATATTGTTGGTAAGGCCCCATTTAGATTATGTTGCGCAGTTCTGGTCATTGTATTACAGATTAGACATAAATGAACTGTAAAACATGCAGAGAAAGATGACAAAGGTGATCCCATGTATCAGAAATCTTTCCTACAAGGACAGATTGAATCTGTGACTTGGGCGCCGTGACGATAAACGTCTTGAGTCCTCACTTCCCAAGAACTTTTGACTATCTCTGCCCAGGAAATCTTCCGAGGCTGTCTTTGTGCCTGAGTTACCAAAACATATGAATCCGATGGTGTCACAACACATTTTCGTGCATGCGAGGTCTCCATTTCGCTAATTTCAAATGAGGCACCCTGATGTATCTCCATTTTCCCCACCAATTCACTGACCAACCAGGTCAATACAGGTGCGACTGAATTATCCTGGGACTTTCCTCCCAGCCACATCACAGACCTGAGACCGACGCCCCCTCCCTCAAGTGTAGATACACTTGATCAAGCACATCACCAAACTCACCGGCATCCGTGTCTGGTCGAACCCAATTCCCCACCCTGTATGACAAGGTGTTACACCGCCCCCTCTTTTGCAGAGGCCCCACATTCATCGCTGCTTCATTCTCCGTCCCGTTACCTCTTCCTCACAATCCTCATGGGTGCGATGCATTTCCCATGGCTTCGAAGAGCCGCTTTCCTCTTCTGATGCTGACTGCCTGGGAGAGGACATTCCACAGCTAAATGGTCATATCTAGGTGTGGCCTGGTCACAGACCTGGCCACTGGGGCGCTGACCCCCCAAATCCTCTCCAGGTATTAGTTTCATACCATAAAAAATGGGTATGGGAAGCAAAAATAAAATTATCGAACAAAATGGGTGTTTCATTACTCACCGAGGCTGAGGTGTGAGCATATAGAACGAAGTTCATTTAGATTGGGTGAGGCAAATGTAACCTTCTGGCCTCTTCCATCCATCCATGGTTTTGTTGCCTTCTGGATGTCTGTTGGTTCATACCATACTGTGAAAATTTTTTAAGACATTAAAAATTTATACCTTGGAGCAAAGATCAGTTTGATAATTATTATTATATTCTCAGAAAACAATAAACCCTTGTGAAAGCCATCCTTCCCGCCTGGGGGCTGTTTACAGCATTATCATATTACATAATAACGTAATGCCAAGTTTTATTTGTTTGTTTTCATTCAAAATGTTTAATATTTCAAATTTGTAAGTTTTTATGTCCACAGACCCAAACTTATGCTTAGAACAGATTAACTCGGTGGCACTCGATGTATGCACAAGGCTTATTCCTCTAAGAAAAAGGAGGAGTAGATGTAAAATAGAAAGAGACAGGCGCTCCCTTTACAGGCGACGGAAAAGAATAACAGAGCGGCTAAAAGAGGTCAATATATCTGAAATGCGCAGGGAGACACTGGTCAGAGAAATAGCAAGCATCGAACTTAAGCTAAAAGAATCCTTTAGGAGTCAGGAATCGCGGGAAGAACTAAAAGCTATAAATGAAATCGAAAGAAACCCAAAGTATTTCTTCTCCTATGCCAAATCAAAATCGAGAACAACGCCCAGTATTGGGCCCCTACTTAAACAAGATGGGTCCTACACAGATGACAGCAAGGAAATGAGTGAGCTACTCAAGTCCCAATATGACTCAGTTTTTAGCAAGCCGCTAACCAGACTGAGAGTCGAAGATCAAAATGAATTTTTTATGAGAGAGCCACAAAATTTGATTAACACAAGCCTATCCGATGTTATCCTGACGCCAAATGACTTCGAACAGGCGATAAATGACATGCCCATGCACTCTGCCCCAGGGCCAGACTCATGGAACTCTGTGTTCATCAAGAACTGCAAGAAGCCCCTATCACGAGCCTTTTCCATCCTATGGAGAGGGAGCATGGACACGGGGTCGTCCCTCAGTTACTAAAAACAACAGACATAGCCCCACTCCACAAAGGGGGCAGTAAAGCAACAGCAAAGAACTACAGACCAATAGCACTAACATCCCATATCATAAAAATCTTTGAAAGGGTCCTAAGAAGCAAGATCACCACCCATCTAGAAACCCATCAGTTACACAACCCAGGGCAACATGGGTTTAGAACAGGTCGCTCCTGTCTGTCTCAACTACTGGATCACTACGACAAGGTCCTAAATGCACTAGAAGACAAAAAGAATGCAGATGTAATATATACAGACTTTGCAAAAGCCTTCGACAAGTGTGACCATGGCGTAATAGCGCACAAAATGCGCGCTAAAGGAATAACAGGAAAAGTCGGTCGATGGATCTATAATTTCCTCACTAACAGAACACAGAGAGTAGTCGTCAACAGAGTAAAGTCCGAGGCAGCTACGGTGAAAAGCTCTGTTCCACAAGGCACAGTACTAGCTCCCATCTTGTTCCTCATCCTCATATCCGACATAGACAAGGATGTCAGCCACAGCACCGTGTCTTCCTTTGCAGATGACACCCGAATCTGCATGACAGTGTCTTCCATTGCAGACACTGCAAGGCTCCAGGCGGACATCAACCAAATCTTTCAGTGGGGTGCAGAAAACAATATGAAGTTCAACGATGAGAAATTTCAATTACTCAGATATGGTAAACATGAGGAAATTAAATCTTCATCAGAGTACAAAACAAATTCTGGCCACAAAATAGAGCGAAACACCAACGTCAAAGACCTGGGAGTGATTATGTCGGAGGATCTCACCTTCAAGGACCATAACATTGTATCAATCGCATCTGCTAGAAAAATGACAGGATGGATAATGAGAACCTTCAAAACTAGGGAGGCCAAGCCCATGATGACACTCTTCAGGTCACTTGTTCTATCTAGGCTGGAATATTGCTGCACTCTAACAGCACCTTTCAAGGCAGGTGAAATTGCCGACCTAGAAAATGTACAGAGAACTTTCACGGCGCGCATAACGGAGATAAAACACCTCAATTACTGGGAGCGCTTGAGGTTTCTAAACCTGTATTCTCTGGAACGCAGGAGGGAGAGATACATGATTATATACACCTGGAAAATCCTAGAGGGACTAGTACCGAACTTGCACACGAAAATCACTCACTACGAAAGCAAAAGACTTGGCAGACGATGCACCATCCCCCCAATGAAAAGCAGGGGTGTCACTAGCACGTTAAGAGACCATACAATAAGTGTCAGGGGCCCGAGACTGTTCAACTGCCTCCCAGCACACATAAGGGGGATTATCAACAGACCCCTGGCAGTCTTCAAGCTGGCACTGGACAAGCACCTAAAGTCAGTTCCTGATCAGCCGGGCTGTGGCTCGTACGTTGGTTTGCGTGCAGCCAGCAGCAACAGCCTGGTTGATCAGGCGCTGATCCACCAGGAGGCCTGGTCACAGACCGGGCCGCGGGGGCGTTGACCCCCGAAAGTCTCTCCAGGTAAACAACCGCCATACCCATAACTTCCTTAAAACTTGAAAAAATCCAGCTGTATAGATTTACAACCCCATGGATCCACTACCCGTCATATTTGCATCACCCGTCATACACATGCACCACCATGTATGACGGGACATAACAAGAAAATGGAGTTTAGAAACCCACCCTGTTGTGTGGGTGTGATGATAAACTTAGTTCCAGCTCTGGCTGTGTTGTACTCACCTAGTTGAGGTTGCAGGGGTCGAGTCCTAGCTCCTGGCCCCGCCTCTTCACTGGTCGCTACTAGGTCACTCTCCCTGAACCGTACTCACCTAGTTGTACTCACCTAGTTAAGGTTGCAGGGGTCGAGTCCAAGCTCCTGGCCCCGCCTCTTCACTGGTCGCTACTAGGTCACTCTCCCTGAACCATGAGCTTTATCGTACCTCTGCTTAAAGCTATGTATGGATCCTGACTCCACTACATCGCTTCCCAAACTATTCCACTTCCTGACTACTCTGTGGCTGAAGAAATACTTCCTAACATCCCTTTGATTCATCTGTGTCTTCAACTTCCAACTGTGTCCCCTTGTTACTGTGTCCAATCTCTGGAACATCCTGTCTTTGTCCACCTTGTCAATTCCTCTCAGTATTTTGTAAGTCGTTATCATGTCCCCCTATCTCTCCTGTCCTCCAGTGTCGTCAGGTTGATTTCCCTTAACCTCTCCTCATAGGACATACCTCTTAGCTCTGGGACTGGTCTTGTTGCAAACCTTTGCACTTTCTCTAGTTTCTTTACATGCTTGGCTAGGTGTGGGTTCCAAACTGGTGCCGCATACTCCAATATGGGCCTAACGTACACGGTGTATAGGGTCCTGAACGATTCCTTATTAAGATGTCGGAATGCTGTTCTGAGGTTTGCCAGGCGCCCATATGCTGCAGCAGTTATTTGGTTGATGTGCGCTTCAGGAGATGTGCCTGGTGTTATACTCACCCCAAGATCTTTTTCCTTGAGTGATGTTTGTAGTCTCTGACCCCCTAGACTGTACTCCATCTGCGGTCTTCTTTGCCCTTCCCCAATCCTCATGACTTTGCACTTGGTGGGATTGAACTCCAGGAGCCAGTTGCTGGACCAGGTCTGCAGCCTGTCCAGATCGCTTTGTATTTCTGCCTGGTCTTCGATCGAATGAACTCTTCTCATCAACTTCACGTCATCTGCAAACAGTGACACCTCGGAGTTTATTCCTTCCGTCATGTCGTTCACAAATACCAGAAACAGCACTGGTCCTAGGACTGACCCCTGTGGGACCCCACTGGTCACAGGTGCCCACTCTGACACCTCGCCTCGTACCATTACTCTCTGCTGTCTTCCTGACAAGTATTCCCTGATCCATTGCAGTGCCTTCCCTGTTATTCCTGCTTGGTCCTCCAGTTTTTGCACTAATCTCTTGTGTGGTACTGTGTCAAACGCCTTCTTGCAGTCTAAGTAAATGCAATCCACCCACCCCTCTCTCTCTTCTCTTACTGCCGTGTGTGTGTGTGTGTGTTTGTGTTTGTGTGTGCATTGATATAAAAATCGCTTGAGAAGTCAGAGCATACAAGAGGAGATTGAAATAGCTTGAGGCTCACTGTGGCATTTGTGTGGCCGAGTGCTGCCTGGGAATCTTGACTGTCCCCAGTAGTAGTTTCGAATGAATAATATATATATATATAATATATATATATATATATATATATATATATTTATATATATCAATAACAACACTGCGCTAGCCAAGGATTCGAACCCATGTTGCACTGGCCTGCTTCATGGTAAACGAGAACCACATGACGCTTTAAACCACAGGACCACCCAACCCTACAAGAATGGCGCAGCCAGCAGAGCTAGCTGTGGGCCGCCATCCGAGGGCATACGGAGGCGTGGGAGCTTTTAAGCTAGGGATAAGAATGAAATTAGCTTAGAAACTCCCACGCCTCCGTATGCCCTCGGATGGCGGCCCACAGCTAGCTCTGCTGGCTGCGCCATTCTTGTAGGGTTGGGTGGTCCTGTGGTTTAAAGCGTCATGTGGTTCTCGTTTACCATGAAGCAGGCCAGTGCAACATGGGTTCGAATCCTTGGCTAGCGCAGTGTTGTTATTGATCAATACCACTCGTCCGTGGTTACAGTAATATATATATATATATATATATATATATATATATATATATATATATATATATATATATATATATATATATATATATATATCTAGGTAGTAGGTTGGTAGACAGCAACCACCCAGGGAAGTACTACCGTCCTGCCAGATGACTGTGAAACAAAAACCTGTAACTGTTTTGCATGATGGTAGGATTGCTGGTTTCTTTTTCTGTCTCATAAACACGCTAGATAACAGGGATATCTTGCTACTCCTACTTACACTTTGGTCACACTTCACAGACACGCACATGCATATATATATATATATATATACATACATCTAGGTTTTTCTCCTTTTTCTAAATAGCTCTTGTTCTTTTTATTTCTTCTATTGTCCATGGGAAGTGGAAAAGAATCTTTCCTCCGTAAGCCATGCGTGTCGTATGAGGCGACTAAAATGCCGGGAGCAATGGGCT